TTTAGGGTTTTAGGGTGTAGGGTTGAGGGGTCTTTGGGAAGAGACACGGGTAGGCCAGTAGCAGTGTATAGCAGCCATAAGTACGGGAGCGTGGTTCAAATGGGAAGTTCGTTTGTGTTCAAGGTTCGTGCGTCAGGAATTCTGGTGACACGGTTTGAGTTTTAGTATTTGGGGGGTGGTGTTTGGTACTGTTGAGACGGTGCAGGACAAAAGCGAACACATGCGAAAGTAACATAGAAGCCTGTATAGTTAGTAATACTATCCCGGACCCGACATAACGATAACAATAACGACAGACGAGTTATCCCAAAACAGTGCAGCCCAGACTCCAATGCCAAGCTTCTCCGCTAGCCAAACACGCCACGTTGCCAGGAGACTGCAGACCACACGGCAGAAGGCGAGGAAGCAGCTGCAAAAGGCTTCCATCACACATGCTCTCTGGTTTGTTGGGGTGCCTCAAATTCGGCCTAAATCCTTCGGCTTGAATATTTGAAGTGCCACGTAAAAAAACTTGACACTTTGCAACAGCTGTTCGGGTCCAGGAGGCTGGACAGCCCAAACTCTGAACGCACGAAACTTATGCCCCAAAGCCCTGAACTGGCCCTGAACCCTAAACCCCAAACCAGGCGAACACGTCAGCCGCGCTGCTGCCTGGCTGGACAACAAGGATCAGGTGCAGCTCTGATACTGCGTCGAGCGTCCTGGGGCTTTCAAGGGATCTTGGTCTAGGTCTAGGTTTTCCCTGACCCCGCAGGTACCTACTACAAAGGGTACTAGAGCCCCTAGGGCCCTATATAGCAGGTACCTGGAGGGTTTGGTTTTAAGAGGTTTCCAAAGGTTTGCAGCGTTGTTCGTGGTGTTGCTGTTGTTCGTTGCTAGCCAGCAGTTTTCGATTCGTGGTGTAAACTCGCAAGATGGCTATGGTGTACATTGTTGCTGAGTTTCTTGGTACATGAACATGTCCCATGCCAAGCCCCGAAACAGAATGCAATAATGTAGGGGCCTTAATAACTCAACTTAATAATTAGACTATAGGGATTTGGGGCCCATTTTACCATAATTATACTAAGGAACCCCCAAAATAGTATTTTACCATAATTATACTACGGAACCCCCAAAATAGTATGTTACCATAATTATACTAAGGAACCCCCAAAATAATATGTTACCATAATTATACTAAGGAACCCCCAAAATAATATCAGCAACTATCGGGGCCCCTACAGAAACGGAGTTCTCGACTCCGAGCTCAATTACCCCTTGCGTGTTCTCACTGCGTAGGTGCAAGGCCATGCGTCCACTGCTGTGCCGACGGATTGGACAGAATGGACAAGCAACTTTCAGCGCAAGTTCAAGCTTTTCTGGACAGAAAGTCCAGGTTGCTAGCCCTTGCAGCTTTGAGTCGTGAATACGATCATCCCCTTGCAGTCCCTACTTGATTCCGCGATACTTTGCCCTAGCTGCCTATTAGCTTTCCTTCGGCCGTGTTCACTTTCAGGTTTCGGGGCGGTCAGGAATATGCATTGATACTGTCGCCTCTCTTTCGAACTAAGGTTGTGCTAATGATCCGCATCATGGCCCTGGTAGATGGTGGCTTTCTAGTCTCTCTCATTGCTGCCTTCTTTCCGGCTGCGACTACTGTCTGTGAGTCGGCTGCTACTACCGCTTGTAATGCTTCTACTGCACTTGTCGTACTAGCACTAGTACTAGTATTATGCTTCTCAGATCTTAGAGTTTTGGATATCGCTTTGCCCCAACATGAACTTCCTGAGCATCACAGACTACAGCCTGATACCCGGAGGTCGTGTTTGAGGCTGTGCCGCATCGTGGTGCTAGGACCCGTTAAGGCCTAGGCGAAACTGAGCATACTCTAATCAGGAACCCTACAAGTGATCCTGATTTGGAAGAGCCCAGGTGAGCCTGAACGAACTGCCGAGAATCATGTGTCTCTGCCGCACCTCAGAATGAAACCTCAAACAGCAACCTGCAGTGCTGAACCAACCATTCAGGTTTCTTCTTAACATATTTGCGATTTGGGTTAACCTGTTCGAGTCTGAGTTCTCTAAACTCTCGTTGAAGGATAGTGTACACCAAAAGAATTCCAATGATGCTCGAAACAAGGTATAGCTTTGAAAGAATGTCAAGTGAGGGCCCGCATGATTATTCCAGGGTTTAATTCCCTAAACCCTAAAGCCTAAATCCTAAAACCCTAAACCCCAACTTCATCGGGGTTTAGAGTTCAGGGTTCATTGACTTCTGTTTACCCCTGCTTTGGCTCCGAGAAGGGTTGACACGGGACAACAGGGTGGCAATGTTACACGAGGTACGGTCCGGCCCTGAAGCCCTGAAACCCTAAATGCTAAACCCTAAACACCAAAACCCTAAAACCCTAAAACCCTCAACCTTAAATGAGCGTTTCAGGGTTTAGGGTTTTAGGGTTTAGGGTTTCAGGTTTCAGGGTTTCGGGTTGAGGGGTTCAGGGTTTAGGGTTTCTATCAGTTTCACGAAGCCCGCAGGGAGTTTGTTACCCACCCTAAGTTCGGTTTTCGCACCGCAATTAGTCGCTACTATGGACCATGATGTGCCGTTTGTATAGAGGTGAGGGAGTTTAGACGGTTTCCTCAACCCGAGCACCCTGAGCTGACTGGCCCCTAGGTTTTAAAGTGGGAGGTTTGTATACGAATTTAGAGACCTCATAATTAGGTGCTGGTGCCTGGGAGGACTGTACTGCAGCTGTAGGTATGCATTTTGAAAGCCTGGTTCTCCAACAGCCTCTGTATGCTGTGCCGCGAAGCAGGCAATTGGCAAGCGTGTTCCTGATGGAGGGCCCATCTGATCTGCACAACTTGACCCTGCAACCGTACCTTAAGAACCCAAAACCTACTTTTTTGTAGGGTCCCTATAAATCCCATATTAGGGTTTATAATAAGAACCTACAAAAAATGGGTTTCGGGCTCTTAAGGTAAACCCCAAACCTTCAACCCTATCTCATGGACTCATGGATGATGGCGGCATAGACGGTGCAGACCTGACCGTTCGACTTGTCGGCTTTCGACGCTGTGCGAAGCCGCCGTGGCAATTGGATTCTTAGGCCAATAGCAGCATGACAAGACGAGTAATTGATAATAAAAATAGTAATAAAAATAATAATAGTAATAATAATAACAAATAATAATAATAATAATTAGCAGCAATGGTTACGAGTGCGAATTACGCTAGCAGAGTATCAGCAGCAGCCATCGAAGGATTTAGGTTTCTGCTTCAGGATTTCTGAGTTCGGGCCAGGCTGCCAAAATCTAGAGAAACCAGCGACCCATACCCATACCCGCAGCTTTCCCAAAGCCGGAGCCCGAAATCCTCAACGGTTTAGGGCTTAGGGTTTAGAGTTTAGGGCTTAGGGTTGAGGTCCAAACCCGTCTTATACCGTCGAAGCTTTGCCCGAAGCCTGCATGCATAGCGTTTCAGGCTTCTGATAGTTGGGGCAACTTCCTGGGCACGCTGCATCCCGGGACGGCAAAGCCTTCCGGCCACAAAGGCGGCAAAGGCACGATAGCTTGGGATCTTGGGTTAAGTCTAGGACATTTTCAGGCGGGTAGTTACCGTTATAGGAGCTTTATAGAAGCTCTATATACCTTATAGAAGCCTTATAGAAGCCCTATATACCCTAAACTTCCCACCCGTAGTTTCCTTTAACTTGGGTTAAGAAGCAGCAGTATCATGTCAGATCAGGCTTCTGTGATCCCCCTATCATTGCAGCTTAGTAGACCGCCGAGCCTTGTTCAGGCCACGGTTTAGGGTTTAGGGTTTAGGGTTCAGGGTTTGAGGTTTAGGGTTTATAGAAATTGTTAAGGGTTTGGGTGCCAAAGTTTTGACCGAAACGTTTTGACCGAAAGTTTTGACCGAAACGTTTTGACCGAAAGTTTTGACCGAAAGTTTTGACCGAAAGTTTTTTTTTGGAA